TGCCAAATGCCATGCACAAACCCTGCACTGCCAGCCCATCTGCCTGTGCCTGCATTCATGCTCAGCCCTACTCTTCCAGGAGGCCCCAAAGCTCCAGGTTGATGACAGTTTACCAACGCTGGTGTCTGCAGCCAATGGGAGATGCCTGTCTTATGTTGCTCTGGAAGGTAAGGTGTCCCCATGGCCACATGCTGGGGACAGGGAGCAGGTTCTTCTCTTTTGGCAGTGATACATCCATTTGTCCTCAGGCATTGTGCTGCCAGCCAAGGCTGCGCTGTCCAGCCATTACCACGGGGGGATGCAGGGTGTGATCCAGAAGTTGCTTCTGAAAGAGCATCGACTGATCTGGAATAGCTTAGCACGGAGCTGGTGAGCAACAGAGGGGACATCGGGGCCAGGCTTGCACCGGCAGGTCCAGACCCCAGCCTCTGGGGACACCTGAGAGGCAGAAAGCAGCTTGCTTGGAGACTCCAGTCCTTACCCCCAGTTCAGCCCTAGCAGCTCAGGTTTCTTTCACGTTCTCCACATCTCAGTGCTGTGCTCTCTGCTTGCAGGACTGAGAGTGAGCGGGTGCTCTCAGAGCAGGTCTACACTGTCCCCTTCTTGCTGGCCTCCCCGGATGCTGAGGCAGTGACACAGGTGAGCGTGGAGAGCCCGCTGCGAGCCGTCTGCCTGCCCCTGGAGATGGTGTACGAGCGCTTCCAGCAGCCAGCCCATGGCTTCCGCGACCTGCTGGGCCACTACTTGAGTGGGGAGAAACCCAAAGGCATTCTCGAGACAGAGGAGATGCTGCGGGTGGGGGCCGGGCTGACAGGCATCGGGGAGCTGGCCCTGCACCCTGATGGCTCCCTGCACCTCCAGCCACCAGCGCGGGAGGGCGAGTATTTCTTGTGCCTGGGGGACTGGCAGACGGTGCTGGCCGAGCTGGAGTCAGCCAGAGGGTTCTGGAAGGGGGCAGCTATGTTGTGTGCCATGGTAGGGCTGGCTGTCCTCCTGCACATCCTGTGCCGTGCCATCCGCCACAAACACCAGGACAAAGAGCCAGAGGTGGAGGAGGACAGCGACGAGGGGCTGGAGGACTCCTGTGTGGTTTGCCTTTCCCGGCCCCGTGAGTGCGTCCTCCTGGGCTGTGGCCACATCTGCTGCTGCTTCCGCTGCTTCCAGGCCTTGCCCACTCGTCTCTGCCCCATCTGCCGGGGGCCCATTGACCGCGTTGTGCCCCTGTACCAGGCCTGAGAGCACTGGGGGGAGGGCGGCAGAGCTGTACCAACCAAGCCTGGCGTGAAGCTTGTAGAAATCTCAGCTGTCCCCTGGCGTGCAGCTGGATGGTTCCTGCTGGGGAGGGAGGGGTCCTGGCTTACCCCTGTCTATTCTGGGGTAGGGCTGAGGGGATTTACAGCCCAGTCATCCTGTTTGCCCCTTTGTCTGCCCAAGTCACACCTCCACCCCTCACATGAGAGCATGGGGTCAGTGTACTCCTGGTGCCTGACATGAGGAGAGGAGGCCCTGTGCCATTCTGGATCTATTGTCTGAGTCCTGAACGCTCTCCCCCCCTTACCTCCCCTCCCTGCAGTGTGGCTTTTTTTCCTTATTTTGCTTTTCTGATGTGTGGTTTAGCCTGTGGGTAAATGACAGGACGGAAGGGAGATCCCAGGGCTGGTGAGACACAGCTGGGGAAAGGGGGGATACAGAAACCACCCAGAGCCACCACTGTGTCACACCCTGGCACCAGCATTCCCCTATCATGTGCCTACACAGCAGACCCTGTGGGGGCTGAAAAATTCCCTTGCTTTTCTGGCACCTGGGCAGGGAAATGGGGACAGCATGGGCTGCGGCATCCTGCTGTCCCTCACCACAGCCTCTCCAGAGCTGAAGGACAGCCCCGAGGCAGCCTCCAGCACCCGCTGAGCCCCGTGCACCCGCCCTGGAGCCAGCGCAGGAGTGACGCGTGGTTGTTTGTCATTGATAAAGCTGAGGAGCCAAGCACAGCCTCGCGTTTTCCTTTGCGTCGTTACAGTAGGGCTGGGAAATGCCACCATCCCCTCCCAACCCAGCTGGGCAGGGGACCCCTGACTGTGGTACATCCTTTGGGACAGCCCCAAAAGGTGCAAGGATGGGGAGAAGAAGGGGGGGAGGAGGGGTGCTGTTACCAAGGCAACTATGCTCTTCCGGTCTCCATAGCAACTGCTCCCCTGGACCGCTCCCCATCACTGCCTGCTGTTGCCCAGGCAACCCACGGGCTCTCCCAGCTCCTGCAGCTTTGGGGCACCTGGAATTTGGGGTGGGAGTGATGCTGGCAGCCCGACAGCAGTGTGTGGGTATGGGGTTCTGTGCCCCCTTCCCCGGTGCAGCTGTCCCATCACTCCTGGTTTGGAGTCAGGCACTCACTCGGGGCAGAGGCGTTGTCCCCAGGGCCCACTGCCAGCTGCGATGCCCCCAGAACACCCAGCTGAACCTCCAGGGACCTGCATGCATCGTTGAAGTGAGGAAGTTTCCCCACCTTTCTCCACATTCTCTCACCCTAGTCTCTCCCCCTCACCAGTATGGCCGCGCTGCAGAGTGAGCAGTGGGGACCGAGTCCCCTGCACCAGCCGGTTGTCCCCCCCGCAGCAGGAGGGATTTCGGGAAGGAGATAAATACCAGATGGGAGAGGGCTGGGCTGCCAGGAACGCGTTCCCCTCGTGCCAAGAGCTGCTGGCGCGAGTGGGTGCGTGGGCTGGGAGGTGTCTGCTCACTCAGAGACTGCTCTCCTCGCTCCTGGGACTGAGCCAGGGGCGGGCAGAGGGGTCCACAGCCACCCTGGCTGAAGCCCCATAGCACTGAGGGTACAGAAGGAAGGGGATGTGTCCCGCTGCACCCTGTCCCTGCAGGCACACAGAGAGGTACAGGCACTCTTCCCGCCACCCTGTGCTCCCAGAAAAGTCACCAGCCTCACAGCAACCCAGCCACTCAGACCCTGCAGCACAGCCCAGAGCGGTGCTGGGCAGCACCACGATTCAACCCCTCAGCACCAGCCAGAGCCCAGCAATGCCAACTGCCCTGCGTGGGGCTGCCGTGCCCGTGGCCCTGGATGAACCCACTACACATCCCCACCATCGCCCTGGGGATGTTTATTTTGGGGACACATGCAGAGAACACAGTGATGAGCCACATTCCCATCCCACAGCACTCGAGAAGACCAGGGTGTCCCCACTGCTGCCACCCCTACACAGTGCCCTGTAGGTGCCTGCTGCCCCCACCATGCCCCCAGGGCTGCCAGCTCGCTGCCACCTGCCTCCTTGTCTGTTGTCATGGTGATGGAGATATGGTGACAGATGAGGGATGGAGCTTGTCACCCCTGCGGGAATGCTGTCTGCACAACGGGGTCGGTCTCCCCTGTATTGGGACCCCACGGGACAAAAGGCTTTTCCCATAGAGCACCCGGCACAGCTCACAGCCCTACCCTACTGCCCCACACGAGGGACAAGGCAGGACGCAGGTGGCACTTGCAGGTAACCCTCACTGACCCCACACAGCATGCTGAGGACAGGTGCTCAGGGTGGTGGCAGCGGGGAGATGGCACCCAGCGAGCAGAAGTGCCATTTCACGTTTCTTGGCAGGGCTGGCAGCAAGCAGATGGAGGCACCAGGAGCAGGCTGCAGGCACAGCTCTGCGCCGCCAGCGCCCGACCTGCTGCCTGGGGGGGAGCCAGCCCCCGCTGTGACCCCCACCCACATAGGCCACTTGCCCACCCACGTCCCAAACACCAAGAGCCCAGCCATAAGGGCAAACCAAAGCCCTCTGCCCGCTCACCCATCACCGGCGTGGTGCCCCCATCCTGACCCAGCCCTGGTGCACTGTACCCCCCTGCCATCCCCCCCGCAGCCCATCTGCTCCCCAGCCCAGTGGCTCACCGCTCCCTGCCCATGGGCAGAGGCACGTGGGCCTGGCAATGGGGAAAGCAGGGCACATCTCAGCGTGGGCCTCTCGCCTATTTTCCCAGGCGCTTCTTTTTGTGGGAGCAGAAGCTGCCAGATGAAGGGGTTGGAGCCGGTTCACCTGCAAAGGCAGTGATAAAGGATTGCCTCTCTGGTGGGGAGGAAGCGCTGCTGCCCCAGCACTGCTCTCAGAGCCCAGCACAAAGAGAACATCATGGCTAAGCCTTCCCGAAATAGCAGCACCTGCCCTCTCGCATGGACCGGCCCCACTGATGCTTTTCTACAGCAGCTTTCATCTATGATCTCAAAGCACAGGAGGACAGTGGCATTGAGAAATGGGCCCCATCCCTCCTTCCCCCAAACCTGTGCCTAAATAACACCTCGGTGATGGGGAGGGGTCCCAGGTGGAGCTTTCTCAGGACCACTGATGCCAACGTAGTGCAGCTGTGCTCTTTGGGGGGGCTAACAGCAGCTGACCCATGGCACACCCCTGTGGGGATGGCTTTATCCCTTCTTGTCCTTACTGCCCCATGGCTCCGTCCTGAGGAAATGGCTGAGCCGAGGGGCAGCACCATCCCATGGGTACCCACGGATCTGTGCCTAAACCACAGCCCCACGGATACACCCAGAGCGCATCCATTTGGATGCACAAGTGTGCAGTGACCCACACGGACCCACAGAAAGGGGGGGAGGGGAAGCCCTGCATGGGAGCTGCAGGAGGGGCCGTCAGCGATGGGGATGCAGCGCCACGCTGGGAACCGACACGGGGGATCTCTGCTTGGGCCACGGGCTCAGTGGGGAGGGGGGGGACCCACGCACGCGGTGCTGCGCTGGGGATGGGCGCACCGAGACCGGACGGAACCCGGGACACGGGGACGGGCAGCCGCCCCCGGTCCCCCCACGCGTCCCGTCCCGTCCGCGGAGCTCGGAGCCGCCCCCTCCCGCCCCGCCGGGGTGGGGGGGTCCCCGCTCCCCCCGGATGCATGACTTCATCCTTCCGCCCGGCTTTCCTCCCCGCTGCCGCCGCCGCCGCCGCAGACTGGCTCCCGGCTCGGCGCGGCGCGGCTCGGCCCGCTCGGCCCCGCCATGTCGCAGGTGCTGCCCTACGGCGAGGACAAGGTGGGTCGCTACGGCGCCGAGCCCGAGGCGGGGGAGCTGCCCTTCAGCTGCCGCCTGCAGGACACCAACGCCTTCTTCGGGGGCAACCAGGGCAAGCGGCCCCCCAAGCTGGGACAGATCGGCCGCGCCAAGAGAGGTACGGACCCCCCGACTCGGCGCCGCGACCCCTCGCCTCCCCCCGGACCCCCAGTTGCGCCCCGCAGCATCCCCGGTACCCCCGGTGCTGCCCCCGGCATCGCACTGCCGCTGCACCTGCGGCTGTGCTCTATAGCAGCGCCGGGAACCCCGGCTGTGCCCTATAGCATCCTTAGCGCTGCCCCATAGCATCCCCGGCTGTGCCCCCCTTTCCCCGAACTGTAGCTGTGCCCCATAGCATCCCCAGTGCCGCATCCCCGCCTCTGCCCCGCACCATCCCCGGCTCTGTCCCCTGGCAATGGGCAGCTCTAGGAATCCCACTCTGCGGCGCAGCCCCAAAGCCGCAGGATGGACCCCACCGCTGCCCCCGGTGTACCCCGGGCATCCCTGGGGCTGCCTCCCCGCAGCTGCTATTAGCGGTTGCAGCACCCTCCTCCCCCCCCCCCCCCCTCCGGGATGCACCCCCGGCTCCATAGGCAGCCCCCAGCCCCATAGCACCCTCCCTGCACATCCCCGCCTGCTGCAGAGACCCCACAGCAGCGATGCTCAGCAGCATCACCCCCGCTTTGTGCCCCCCCGGGGCTCCGTAAAGCTGTGTGTACGTTCCCTCCTCCTCTCCTTCCTCCCCCCCCTTGCTTCCCTTCATGCCGCAGAGACCCTATAGCAGCTCAATCCAAACCCAAATAAATACTCCCCTCCACCCCCGTCTAAATCCCCATCCATCCATCCTTGGGGAACCCTGAGAGCAGACCCCTCCCCACCTGCTTGGAGGGGATACAGCCAATCCTCCTCTTGAGCAAAAGGGCCCCCCCCCACACACACACACTCACACCCCTGAGAGATGATGCACCGCTACCCGTGCCCCCCCAACTCATTTTGCAGTGCTGATGGATGGGGGGCAGCGGACCCTCTTAGAGGGGCTGGGGGAGGCCCAGTGGGGGATGCTGGGGGGTCCTGCGCAGTGATGATGCTGATGGAGGGGCTCTGCCCAGCTGGGGGGTCTGTCCGGTGCTGCTCTGCTGATGCCTATTGCTGTGTGGGGGGTCTGTCTGATGAAAGACGACTGGGTGGGAGATTTTCTGATGATGCTGATCGCCAGGGTTGGGGGGGGGGGGGGGG